ATTCCCAGTCATTCACTTTGCCAAATTTCATTTTTGTCTTTTCTGGACATTTACAATCTTTTTATGAGTCAAAAAGTTTAAAAGTAAAAAAAAATAAAAAATAAAAAATAAAAAAAAATAAAAAAAAATTGAGAAAGATGACAGATAATAATAAGTATTTATTTTAAAGAAGGAATAACAAAAAATAATGAAATAGTTTCCTTAGGACTTAACTATAATATTTAAGTTATATTTTATTTCTTTAAGTCAAATTCTGAAGCATAGCAATAATGCATAGAGGCATCACTCTCATGAAAGCGAATTCTTTTCTTATTCATAGGAAGTTAGTACATTTTTTCCAATCCTTATTCTGTCTTTGTTTCAAAGGACTTTGAGTCGATATTAATACAACAATTGTCTCATTTTCTTCCGTTAGAAGATTTTTCATGAACATTTTGTCTTTGTTTTCAGAAATCAGAAGACTTGGAAGTCAATATTAAAAGTTTATTATTTACTGTTATAAATCTATCGTAAACAAATTAAGTACTATTTATACATTTTTAATTTATTGCAAATCTATCATTGTAATTATGTAAATTCAACAAGAAGTTAAATAGGCACGTATGAGACATACTTGTTAAATAATAACATTTAAACACTAAAAAAAATAATTTTTGTTTTATAGATAATACTGAATGATATAATAAAGATCTGAAAAGATCGAAAACTGATGTGATGACACATTGCAACCATATAACACGACTTGACCTTTTAGTGATCGATTCATCTCAAAGTAACCAAAATTTATTTTCTTTTGGAAGTTTTATTACAATTTCTACACTTCTTGATAAGATGTATATGAAAGAAACGATCGAGAATTGTTGACTCATCAATTCCATAAAATCAATTAACATGACTTGAGCTCCTTTAATGATTTTCCAAGTTGCAATACAATTTTCAATCGCACACTTGTTTTTATTAGGAGACTTTGAATAAGCTTCAGTGAATAGTCCACTAACTTTTATATGTGATTTTTTGTTCAATAATGTTCCTACAGTAATATTATTTAACAAGATGTTTTACCAAAATGTAGTTTAAGAACATTGAAAATCATTTACAAATATTTTACAAAAGAATACTAGTGTTAAATCAAGTTTAAAGTGAAATAAAATAAATAATTATATTTTGAATAAATATTTTAGAAAAAAAAACATTTACAAGTATGAAATGAAAGAAAAGATGTAGAATTGGTGGAAATCAAATTCTTAAAATCAATTATAAGGCTTGACCTCCTGTAGAGATCTATCCAACCAAGAGTACAATATGCAATTGCACAATTATTTATTTCTATTTATTTCTCATTTATTTCTTCTTCCCTTTTCTTTGCTCTCAATGCTTTAGTTATCAAAGCCTCCATCACTTGAAAATGAATGTAAAATATTGAATTTTGGGACTAAAATTGAATAAATTAGCCGTGTTAAGGGGGAGGAATTAGGGTATGTTTTGAAAACATAGGAAACTGATCTGATGAGACATCTTTTTTAATATAACCACATAACACGGCTTGACCCTTCTTGACACGGACGGATTGTTACATGTGTGTGTAAGCTTTTTCCAGGAAATTAATGAGGGCATTCTAAAATTTGAACTAGAAACAATAAATATATCAACTTTTTGAATTAATGTTAGCTGGCTTTCCAACTGTATTGACTTAGTGTACTTGGTTAAAAATTATGAAACAGGTCATTTACGATAGAAATTAATTTCTATCAACAACTGTTGTCCTTCTATATACCTATACACACATTAATTCATCAAATGTTTTCTCAACTGTATTGGCAGAATTTAATTCAATCTATATATTTCTCAACTGTATTGATAGGATTTAATGTTTCAGGGTCAAGTCTCTCCTCCGTTGTCCCATTTACGATATAAATAGCTAGCCACTAATTCTTGCATGTGAGAGGGTGATGTTTCTAGGAAATTGATCGAGGAGAATTTATAATTTTAACAAAAACAATCAAGTCATGTCTACCACTGCATCAATAATTTTGTTTTTATTGGACATGAAAATTTCAATCTAAAATCAATCTTTGATAAGATATAGTCATGTTAAAACTGTGTGCAAATTTATTTATTTATTTATTTTTTCAACTGGATAAAAACACAATTGCCAATGGGATCCCTATCACTGGCAAATAATAACAAATTTCTAAAAGAAAAGATTAAAACCATGGTCATTGCATATTTAAATCCATATTTTAAGTTTCATCTCAAATTTCACATTGTTATTTTTCTGAATTGAAACTATTTCTTAGTAGCATTAAAGTATTTGAAATCCAAAATATGATGTTTCAACAATTATTGTCCTTCTCTTACCTGAAGACAACTATTAACACTATATGATAGAAACTATTTGTTACTCCTTGATTTTAGAGCAAGAGTAACATTGTAAAATGCGATATATATTTTGTTTACACGAGAGAATGAGTTAATTTTATGAAAATATTTATCATCAATTTTAAATTTTTAGACGAAAAGCAACAGTATATCTATGATATCATCTCCATAATGAGATAAAATGATAGAATTTAATTGGAACTTGTTGATTTGAAGCTAGATTGAAAGATTTTGATCAAAGAGCAGCAAAAGATGATAAGATTCTATTGTTGAATTTGTTGAACATCCAAATTATTTATACACCAAAATTAACCTTTACCCATAGAGATGACAATGGGCCCGACATTTTTGGGTACCCGGCCCAAAAGGGACGGGCTTTACCTGAGGTTGGCAGGCTTGGGCTTGGGCCTGGGCTTGATTTTAAGGCCTGACCTCGGGTACGGGCCAAGCATGGGTATATCTTTAGGCCTGGCCCGGCCCAAAAATTTTAGTATTAATTTTACTAATTTACCCTTATACTATATATTTAATTACAATATTATCCTACATATATATATATATATCCATTTTTCTCAAACCCTAACCTCAATTTTCATCCCATATTGAAGGTTTAACATGTTAAAATTATCTTTAAATGAGTTAGATGGGTTTGGTTCAACTTATAAATGTGGATTTCACCATAACATATTATGCACAGCTGAAAAGTTAGTATAATCAAATATTATGGAGTTTTAATTGCTCACTTATTGCTTAAATTATTTACGGAAATAGCTTTAATTAATATTTAAAAACTATTTCTAAAATTAAAAATATAAAAAAAATTTGAAATTTATTAATATTTTAAAATAAACATTATTAAAAAAGGTGGGCTTGGGTCGGGCCTGTGGTTATAAAAAACCTGTCAGGCCGGGCTTGGGCTTTGCCTATCATACCCGTAATGGGCTCAGGCCGGGCTTGGGCCTGTGTCATGAGGTCAGGCTTAGGCCTAGGCCAAGGGGTACCCGGTCCCGGCCCGGCCCATTGCCATCACTATTTACCCATTAGACAGAGGACAATGCAATAATTTGAATAGATTGAATCCTTATTGAAGCTAGCATCCATTTGTATTGACATAGACCACTATCTACTTTTTTTCCAAGTCAATGTTCTTGCTTCAAACTTATGGCAGAATTTAATTCTTTACGAACCAAAATTAATTTCTATCAACAACTGATTGTCCTTTTCTTGACTTCTGTGTTTCAAGGTCAATAAAAATTTATCCTGTTTTTCTATCAATTGGGTTAATAATAGAATTGATTGTCTCTATGATCGATAAATAACAATGGATCACTAAAATAACGTATCTATAACGCAAACTTTATTATTTGTCTACCAACTAATGTGAGAGTAAGTGGTTGCATTTTGGATTGGTTAAAAATTAGATTATGAAAGATTACATCATTTTAATGGAAGATTTAATTTCTATCAGCAACCATTGATCCTGACTTGAAAAATCTGGTTTGAAATGCAACGGGCACGGCAAGCACATCAACTACCGGAAAAATGTTAAAGAAGTTGTTAAAGTTCTATACATTCTAACGACAGCCTCAAGTTTCGTTAGATACTTAAACAAAATGCTGTGTTTTGTTTATACTCCGAGTCTCTGAGTTTTGAAGAACAAGCTGCTCAGGAAGATCAGAAGTACAAAAAGAACAAGCTGGGAGATGCTCAGGTTGTAGACTGTTTAAAGGAATTTATGATTTGTGTTTGATTATGTTATACTTAGTCTAAACACACACCTAAATCTACCAAATCACACAGATCAATCAAGAACACAAAAACACCAAATTACCGTGTTTCACTTATTCAAGGTTGAACAAGCTATATCCACGTTGAGCTCTAGAACACTGAGGCTCATTGCACTAGAGTTATCAAATGTGTTTACAGAGTACAACAATCATTTATCAAGAATTGCTCACTTACTAGCTAACTATTCACACAACCCTTTACAATAATCTTTGATCCTAGAGAAAGACTACCCAGCTCCTCTAATCCTTGAAGGAATCACAACCCCCAATGAACAATCTCACAGATTGTACAAAGATTAATCAGTTTGAGTATTAACAAGAACCTTAGCAAAAGTGAATGAATAAAGACATAGAAAAGAGAGATATTGCAATCTGTTGAATAGGAACATTTTGGGCTCTTTCATAGTGTTGACTTCAAGGTCATTTGCAGCCGTTGGATGCCTCTTGAATTGATGACCAGGATTTAAAGAGAAATAAAACTATAGTTCTTTAATTTTCCTTTAGACGACGCCATTGTGGGCTTCAACAATTAACAATCTCCACCTTGAAGCTTACAACTTCCCTTCAGCAGCTTCTCACTTGTACAACAGGCTTCTCAAGTGTTCTTTTTCATCTCTAATACATCACCTTATGTGCAGTAAGTCCAAGCAATGCTTGAACTTTGCGGCAGTCACCACTTTGGTCCCCATATCTGTTGGATTTTCTTCAATTGGTATCTTCATCAGGTTGAGTTGGCCATTTGAGATGAGATCTCTTAAGAAGTGAAACCTTACATCCACGTGCTTGGTTCTCTCATGGTATGCGAAATTTTTACTCAAATGGATGGCACTTTGACTATCTGAGTATACCGTCACAAGTCCATCCAGTAGGTTCTTTCAAGATCCCTTGAAGCCATATAGCTTCCTTGAATGTGTCAGTCATGGCTACATATTCAGCCTCGGTTGTGGACAATGCAACCAAGGGTTGTAATTGTGACTTCCAACTTAAACAATTACCCCCAAGAGTGAAACAGTAGGTTGTTGTAGACTTTCTTGTGTCTCTATCACCTGCAAAGTCAAAACCTGCATACCCAACCAGATCAAGTGAGGTGTTTCTTTTACAAAAGTCTAAGCCAACATGTACAGTGTTGTTAATGTACCTCAGCATCCATTTTAGAGCAATCAAGTGTTCCATTCCAGGATTGGACATAAATCTACTTAGCAATGATATGGCAAATGACAAATCAGGCCTAGTGCTAATCATGGCATACATCACCGATCCTATGACATTAGAGTAAGGGATGTTTTTCATTTTTAACACTTCAGTTTCAGCTTTGAGACACTGCAGCTTGCTAAGGATAAATTGACTTGCTAAGGGCATGATGACTAATTTAGAACCAGTCATCCAAAATCTGGAGGACGGTTTCTGTAAATAAGGCAATTGGTGAGAATTTCTCAGATCAGAGACCAGTGTGGCGTCTTGTAATACCCTCATTCAGAAATATGGTAGGGATTATTTTATAGTCATGGTGAATATATTTTACTAGTTTTATAAAGGAATTCCATAAAAAGTTTCAATAAGGGCGAAATGGTCATTTCACACAGAATCACATGTTCAAGTGAAAAGTGAGTATGATAAATATAATGTATTAAGTGTGCTAGCCATGAGAATAGAGTGGTAGAAAGATTATGGAAAATACACGTGATGTGATGCTGAGACAAATACGTGTTTGTAAAGTAATAGAAAGAAATTAAAGAATAAGGGTAAAATGGTCTTTTCACTCACAACTAGATGAAAAGGTAGTGAGTGAAAACGACCAAGAACATGTGTTAAATCCATTGAAAGTGAGGGTATATCGGTAAATGCACGAATGGCATAATTGGAATTATCATAAAAGTGCAAGGGCAATATATATATAGGCTTCAATTGACAAACCCTAGCCATTCTCATCCCTTGAGCACGCCACCTTCTTCCCCCATTTCTCCTCCATTTCTTCAAAGTCTTCCAAGAGAATTACATAAGAATTCATGCCTAAGTGAATATATGTTCATTTTGTGGCTTTCTAAGCATGAATCAATGGAGAAAGTGAGCAAAGGAAGCGAAGAAAAGAATTCTTGCAAGAAAAAGGTAAGTAAACTCAATATAAGTTTTAATTTGAGTAGTATATGTGTAAGTTAATTCTTGAGTGTTTGTGTATGATGTATGATAAGAAGTATTGGCTGTTTAGATGCTTGTTTGATGGTAATGTGTAGAAGTTTAGCCAAGATGAGTAGTTATGTAGATGTGATGTTTTGGTTGAATTTTGGATGAAATTTTGATGAGTTGATGTTGGAATTTGGAAGTGTTGAACCCAGCCAGATTTGTAGTTAAGTTTGGTGAGTTTTTGCTCCAATTTTGGTGGATTTGGAGAGATGTGGAAGTGTGGCCAACCAAGTATTTTCATGTGCATGTGAATTGTTTGTGAAAATTCAAAGAGAAATACATGGATGAGTTTGTTAAATCTTATTGAAGAAATTGTTTGAGAAAAGAAAGAATTGGAGTTGAAAGGTTATGTTAGGCTTAACCAAGTGTAAGTTTTAGTATTCAAGAATGCATTTTGTTATGCCAAAATTTAGAATATCACTTGGTCATGTTAGTTGAATGAAAGAAATGGCCTTTAGTGCATGGTTCAAGTTGTTTGAAGTTTTAGCATTAGTTTGAATGGCATTTTGTATTTAGTCATTGAATTATGAGTTTTGAAACTTATGTCTTTCGAAAAGTGATGGCAAGAATTGCATATTAAACTGTTGCAATAGTGTAGTATTGATGATAGTAAAAGACGCGTGATTATATTATAATATTACAATATGCCATAATAAATTGTCAAGCTTGTATGCTCGAAATTAGAAAGATCATTCAAAGAATGGCTTGGCCAAACGAGTATATTATTGTTTCTTGTTTTGAGATTAGTTATAAACAATATGTAATAAGTGATTTTATTGTATAAAAAATAGAAAAGCTTTCCCAAGTATAAATATCAAAGAAACATCAAAGAAATAGAAGTTTAGTTTATGTATTAAATACATGACCATTTTAGATATTGATTGGTATGAGTATAGTTTTCATGCCTTATTATATATTACAAACTATAGAATTGTGTTAGAAGATCTTGAGAATACGTTGTATTGGCCAAAAGTTTAGTTAAGAATGTTAGAAAGAAATTAGAATTTAGCCATACAACCAGTATATTGTGTCACTTAAGTTAAGGGATTGCAGTTGTTGGAAGAAAGAAAACAAAGAAGTATTTGATATCACTCTCCAAATTCCAATCCCTTACAACCAAAAGAGCGAGTTTGATGATCTTCTAGTGTTGTTGTCACACATAACTTTTTCCCATCTACATCACTCTGAATTCTCCACCCAATTGTAAGGATAACCATTAAGATTAGGGAAGAAATGTTAAGTTGCAAGAGAGCAGTTCTCTCTTCCTCCCAACACCCCTCTCCTCAAGAAACCAACATCATTACTAACAACACCCAAAACCACTTACAATCCATCTCTTATACACTCAAGCTTTGTGACTCGCAACACACCAACCTCTACGCTATTATAGGAAGAGGCGCCACTTCTATTTGGATTTCCTTTTCTTTCTATTATAAGTTTTTTTTTTCTTTTTCTTTAATACTCTATATTTTATGTATTAATACTCTAATCAACTCTTAGTCTCTAAGCATCAAGATAGACATTTAATATCAGTTGGTAAAAGAGAAGCATTAAATTTTAGCTTATAGTTTGTCTTATCTAAATTAACAAAAATTATAAATTAAAATATAAATAGATTTTGTTATTAATTTTTTTCTTTTTATTTTAAAGATTATATTTTACCTGACATGAACCAGTTATTACTTTCACTTTCCAAGTCAATGTAATTGGTTAACACTTATGAACAAAGGTTAAAATAATAATCTCGTTTTTCTATAAGAAAAAAAGTATATTAAGGGCTTTACAGTAATATTAAGATCCCACACTGGTAATCAATTAAAAATTGTTGTGATTTCATAGGATCTCAGTTGTATTGATTAAAATTATAATTGTAGTTTTCGTTACTATTAATTATTTAGAAGTCTATTCATAAAATGTTATTATTCTCCCATTTTTATTTTTATACCTGTAAAATTCATTTGATAAATTTGGTTTAAAAAGTAAAGGAAAAAGAAAAAAAACACATTGAGAAAAAGGGTTCAACTCCTCCTTTAGAATTGATAAACCAATAAAATTTATTACTTTTATTTATTAATTTAAAAAAATTTATTAAAAAATATCATGGTGTCACTTTTCATATTTGCTGTAATTAATTAATAGTTTTCAAATTTCAAGGTTTGGTTATAATTCTCTTAGCGATAATTCGCATTAGATCAATGTATCTTTACTTTATTTGTTTCATGTTTAACACCCGTTTCAGCAAAACATTATAAGTTAAATAAAAATATTTTTAATTTTTTAATATAAGAAAGAACACCAAACACATTATACACATAAAGCTATTGACCTATATATTTGCATAAAATTCTAAAAGCTCAAATCAACTCAATGAAATTGTCAATTTCTGCAAGCTGGCATTCAAAGTAACCTACTTTTCCAAGTCAAGGTACTCAGTTAAAAGTTATGGGGGTCATTTATGATAGAAATTATTTTTCTATATCTATCAACAATTATTGTTCTTCTCTTGACTTAAAGAAAACTACTAACTTTTGAGTCGGATTGATGTTTCTTTAGTTGTCTAACACAATTATTGTATAATAAAAAATAAACTTTGAAAGTTGAAATGCTATAAAAATATCAAATTTTAATTGTTTTTTAGTATATTTGACCGTCGGTCAACAAACTTGACCGGCAATTCCGACGAGTTATCACTGGGTAATATACCGTTTTGAAGCACTCTTCGTGCTATATAAATCTAGCTAATATGTTCCAGGATTTCTTCTAAAATTTGCAGATTGAGCCGCTTAATCCAGCAAGTTTTTCTTTATTCCCAACCAATCTCTGGCGATTTTCCAACCGACAACCATGAATTAGCTTCCTCTCCCTTTGATCTTAAAAGTAAAGCTTCGTTCGCCTCTTATTGTCCCATCAAAAGCTACCATTAAAGACCATATTAAACTTAGATAATTTCTATTTATTATCATGATGTGTTGTTTTAGGAGCTTATACAAATGTATAGTGAAAGATTGTCTTAAATGTACTATAGTGGGAGGTACAGTAAATTGGCTATTTTATGAGATAGGAAATGTAATAGTAAAATTTCCTTCATGTATTCAAATCCTTGTTTATACTGTAATTTCTATTGAATATGAAATTCCATGGGAGTTTGATGAGTTGTATGATGGTGGGACAAGTAATATTCATGCTGTTAAGTGCTCTTTAATAGGTTTTAAGCAAACTAGATGCCAACATTAGTTAAAAGTTTTAAGTGATTCGACGATTTTTGGTAAGTATTATATCCATTAAAGATACCAAAAAGTCCTCTATAATATCAGAACCCCTGGTCAGAGAGGTTTTAATAATTTTGAAATCGCTATGATGCGTATGACTTAGATATTCTCGATATGAAAATAATGCCTATAAATTGTAGATATGAAAAAAAAATGATAATAGTCAACAAAATATTTGGAAGAATATTTATTATCAGTAAACTATTTACCAGCAATTTTGTAAAAATATTTATCAAATTCCCAGTTCCTTTACTATCAAATTCCCAGTCATTCACTTTGCAAATTTCATTTTTGTCTTTTCTGGACATTTACAATCTTTTATGAGTCAAAAAGTTTAAAAGTAAAAAAAATAAAAAATAAAAAATAAAAAAAAATAAAAAAAAATTGAGAGAGAAAGATGACAGATATATAAGTATTATTTTAAAGAAGGAATAACAAAAAATAATGAATAGTTTCCTTAGGACTTAACTATAAATTTAAGTTATTTTTATTTCTTTAAGTCAAATCTGAAGCATAGCAATAAGCATAGAGGCATCACTCTCAGAAAGCGAATTCTTTCTATTCATAGGAAGTTAGTACATTTTTTCCAATCCTTATTCTGTCTTTGTTTCAAAGGACTTTGAGTCGATATTAATACAACAATTGTCTCATTTTCTTCCGTTAGAAGATTTTTCATGAACATTTGTCTTTGTTTGAAATCAGAAGACTTGGAAGTCAATATTAAAAGTTTATATTTACTGTTATAAATCTATCGTAAACAATTAAGTACTATTTATACATTTTTAATTTATTGCAAATCTATCATTGTAATTATGTAAATTCAACAGAAGTTAAATAGGC